AATTGCTGCAGAGGGATGCTGACTGTAACAGAGCACCCAGCTGCCAGCTATTGACCCCCACCACCACCACCACACACACACCCAACATACCAGATGCATGCATTTCTGTCAGAAGAACATGGAAAAGTGCAGACAGAACCGTCACGACTGCGCATGTGTGTGTTCACGCTTTCCACTTCATCCATAAACCCGCAGCCACCAAATCTCAGCCTCCAGGGACAGCTGTCGCTTTGACTTCCAAAACCAGGCAGTCACTCTGCAACCTCCCGCCCCCCACCCAACCCCATCACACACACATTAGCATTAGCCTCCGAACTTGGGGAGTGTAATYTGCTTAGTTTATGTCTGACTCTCAGCATCCATCAATTACTGGGACAGTGGAAAAGACTATTGACAGTGTGGGCAAACACCGTCGTCCTGCTGTACCAACACAGCACCCCTCACATGCCTAAACATAGAGAGAAACAAACAAAAGATTTAATTAGTTTTTTTAAAATCACGAGATATCCTATTATATAAGAAGAGTTTTCAGTTTTWGCTGTCTTAAAATAGATGGATGGGAAGGAAATGATCCACAAACTGGCTGACAGATGAGCGCTTGGACCAAGATCCGTTTCGTATTGATCTGCGGCTCACTGGGTAGAGATCACAGATCCCACACGCCCACATTCATGGAAGAAACCCTAGAAACCCCCTGAGAGACGCTTGAAGAAACATGGAAATATCACTTGGAGCTGCTGGGACCTGCTGCTGCTGAGTGGGTCAATAGTTTTCAAATGCTTTTCATTTAGAACTTACAGACCCACTGCAAAGGGAGAGCACACGCAGGATGACTTTCAGGCAAGCAGGGTTTCACCAGGTCTAATTTAAACCTGTTTGTCTGAATATTTGAGAGCAAACACAGAACATGACTGGACCGCCCTCTGCTGAAGGTGATCTCCCGACATTGAAAAGACTCAACACTTTGAAACAACTTGAAAGWGCAAATTTAACACTAGTTCAACTCAACACTTATACAGAGTCTGTATGGGAATACTTTTAAACGAGTCAAAATTATTACACCAATTAGAGTTAAAAATTAAAAATTGCATGTCTGTGGTGAATAATATTACACTAAATTTGTGTTAAACAGCAGTGTTGTAGCACTTTTTGATGGTCTCTGACTCTGTACTCRTTCTYGTCTCGCACATTGAGGACTAGATTTTATTTCAAGACCAGCCAAAACCACAACTGTGGAAATATCACTAAATTACCAGAATRTTGTCCAATTTATTTCTCGYATTCATTGGATGTAAAACATACCAATTCATATCCAAGAAAGTGAGCAGTGGTCGTCTGCGTGTCAGGAGAAGATGCCCGCAAAAATCTTCAGTAATACAATGGGGCTACATAAATCGTAAAGAATATATTGGTAAAACAACATCCACTAGAAAGCATAAAGCGACTTGTAAATTCTCAGAGTTGAAATAAACTATTCGTAGAGTCGCATCAACACTGCTCAGTGGTCTCACAACACTTTTAAGTGTTATTAACACTTAACAGCGGGTGGAGCTTATTTMGCTCTCTCCGGAGTTGAGACAACCCTGATAAAATCAACTCTGTGAATTAACGCCAACGCTGGATGTCACTTAGGCTGTGCCCAAATTCAGGGGCTGCRTCCTTTGAAGGACCCGATCTACCCAGCCAGCCCGCACTGCATCTTGGGATAGGGTGGTGTTATGACCCGACTCAGCCAGGGAAAAAGGAGATAACATTAATGGGGGCTCGTCCGGGATATGAACCCGGGACCTCTCGCTGAGAAGGATACACTGGATCTGTTCCTCAAATTCGGGGGAAAAAAAGAGAATTGGAGGAGCAGTTGAATTGGGACGCAGCCCCTGAATTAAGACAGTTAACTCAGAATGTGTTAAAATAACAATGGGGGGAGTTGAAGTCAACTCTGAAAAGTTTAACACTGGAATTTTAACACTCCGGTTTTTGCAAGGAGCTAGAAGTTTACCCAGCTACTCTTCTGTCTGGCCATCAGACCATTTTGTCTCATGGCAGGTACCCATCTGGAGGCCCTTACAGAGTGATTAACTAAGCTTCTCCTTACAGCATAATGTGGATTACCACAGCAAACACCCCTCATATTCCCAACAAGCACTATTGGATTAAGTGGTCAGCTGCTGGTCACCCTCTTTATATGTCTTCTGCACTGCATTGCGGGGGCACAATCAGAATACTTAGTGAAAAACCACCGAGCCGAAATGTGAAAATGTTCAATAACTTACTCTTTAATGTGTTGGACTTATTTTTAGAGATTTAACTGAAATATTTTGTGTTGACCTTCAGGGTCATTCTTCTCGTTAGGTGATTTGACCTCATGAGCTTGTAATTTATGATAAATCAGCTTCGTGGGAATATGGTGCTCATCATTTATTATTAAAAATTGCTTTCAAAAATGTTTTCATTCATTACTTGTGGAGGCGCCAAGAACAAAACGACAAAATGGAAAACTCATGAATGAAAGCATATAATTAAAAAAGCCTTGAGTATTTTGTTGTTTTTATTGTGAAATATTTGATTGTTGTTACGAAAATAAATAATAAATTAAAAAAATTGACTTTGCAGCATAGCCTCTCTAAGCTCCTTGAAATTGGTCTCTGTCTCTGTAAGAACCTCCTACCATTTCTGATACTCCCACTTCAGCACGTCTTCACAACAGTGCTTCAAGTCGTTTACAACCTTTCGTAGGAGTGTTGTATTTTATTGTAAAAATATATATATTTTTAAAGAAGCAACATTATATGATATCGTTTTTGCAAAATGGTAACTTGGGACACAGTTGAACCTTACTCAGACCTGGAAAGTACGTTTTCTGAAGAACCACAGCGAACTTTTCAGCTTGGTAATATATCTCTCAGTCATCCTCTTGTATGTCAATGTTAAAGCTACTTTTTGTGGAAAACATATATAATTATAGATAATTATGAAGCTTTATTTTCCAATGGAATCATAGTGAGTGTGGATGAGCTGTGTGGGGGAGGGGTGTTCTTTGAGGCGGGAGCATGGCTGGGGACTGAGCTCAGGGAGGAGCTTTGGGTAAATAGGTGGTTCTGTGTACCAGTGAGCATTTAGGCAGTTCCACATGGAGTTTCAAGGAGTTCTCAAACATGCCTTAATAAATCCAAGAACCAATGACGGATTTTAATGAAACACTTAGTAAGTAATCTAAATGAATATTGACAAATTATTAACATTTGGATTAAAAACAATTAAAGATGGCCACCTCGGCCAACACATAAATGACTATAACTCGGTCAGTTTTAGGGGTATTGAACTAAAATATCATGAGGTCTCCATCTTGTATCTGTAGCCGGGTTCTGGCGGCAACAGGTCCAGGACAGAAACCCAGACATCCCTCTCCTCAGCAACACTCTCCAGCTCCACCTGGAGGATCCCAAGGTGTTCACAGGCCTGAGAGAATATAAACAAATCCTGCAGTGAGTTCTGGGTCTACTAGCAGCCTCTTTCCAATGGGACATGCCCTAAAATAAACTACAAATGGAGAGGTCCAGAAGGAATCAGAAGCCCGAAAACCACCTCAACTGACTCCTTTCAATTCAGAGGAGCAGCAACTCCTTAAGCAGCTGGATAAAACCCTTAAAGTCTGGTTTGATCTATTTCTTAAAGAATACGAGGATCACTTTTATCAGTGTTGCCTTTTTCACACGTTGCTCCCTCCCTTCTTTCCCTCAGCACACCTGGTTCCCAGACTCGTCCCCGGTGCAGGAGCCACTGATGCGGGTCCAACACACACACACTGAAACCCTGGGAGTCAGCACCACACAGGCTTAATGCTGAAGTCAGGAACTCTTAGAAAACACTTTCATACATACACACACACACACACACACACACACACACACACACACA